TTTTTTTTTTGATTGAGTCGTTCTCAAGGTTACTTTAATTGTTAAGCCGTAAAAACAAAAAATTTTAAAAATTCTAAAAAATAAAAGTATTTTTGACCAACTGTTTTTCTGTTTTCCCTTTATAGTCTTATTAAATCTTCTTTTTTTAAAGTAAACCAAGGTTGTTCTTGAAGTTTCGTCTATTAGGTAATGAAAAATTTGACGAGTTGTCAAATCGACAATACGTACAGTTTTTACAAACCTTTGTTGTATTGGTTGTTTTGCGCTTACCAATCTATAAACTAGAATTTTGGTTGATCATTCTACCGAGATGTAACATTAATATTATTACCGGGTCATAAGTATAAATTTGCTAAATCAATATCTATATTTCTCAGCAGTAACCGCTCCAATATAGTAATTTTATTATCTACAAAATATGAATACTTGTTGTACTGACAACGATCACCAAACCACTCGTCATCACAACGGCACTCGTATGTTTCTGTTGTCAGTGGAAACATACTGCAATCAGTTTTATTCATCGCTAAACATTTGCCATGCCTAAAATTTTTTAAACCTAATAAGCTTCTGAAATGTAAGACGAAGACTAACATACATTTTCCGATGTAATACTGTTAAAACAAAAAAAGACTTTTTTTTTTGAATTATTAAGTATAATTATTACTGGCAATAAATTTTTTTTTTTGCATCAAAGCAAGTTAAGTTTATTTACCCCGAACAACGTCTTTCTGAGCAAAATTTTGTGAACGTTAGAATTCCTTGTAGATACGGACCAACATCTGCGTCTACAAACTGCTGAATTCCGCGGCATCTTTGTGGCATTTGAAATGAAGATGACCAAAATATAATACCATCAATACCAAGATCAGCGGGCTGTTTTATAGAAGCGCATAAATCTGCCTGCAGAACAAACAAAAATAACTAATTTTTTAACTTTTTAATTCTATGATTATTTAAAGTTTTTTATGAAAAAACCAAACTGTATAACAGTTTCAAAAACCTTAATGATATATGAAAGTTGGAATATAACAAGTATTATCTGAATACAACAAATACAAAAAGACAAAAGTGCTAAACCTGTAGAAACCAAAGAACCATTTCATAGTGTTTCCAGCATTTCCTAGCTTAAACTTTGAGTTAATTTTTTAATCTGATAAATCCCTTTTTTGAAAACATAAAATAAGTTTTCAGCAGAAGTACACAAGAAAAAACCAATAAATAAGGTTAGCCTATACATTTTTAGACTTGTTTCAGTACTGATAATATCTGTACAATATTATACCTGTATGAATAAACACTCAAAACTCATCACTGTTAATGAAGAAAGTAGAAGAAATTGAAGTATCTGTGAAAAAATTGGAGAAAATAGTTGACAACAAATAATTTTGAAAATTTTTTTACTAAGATCTTTTTTTAAATAAAATTGATCTTGCAACAGCAGTTTGAATTTGCCGTCATTTTCTAGCCCTGATCTCTCTGATTCCGAAAAAAATTTTATGAAACCACATAATAACTATATAACCGTTGGCTTATACCACCTTTATTCCTAACATTGCTAAAAATTTATCGTTTTTTCCTGTATATAATTTGTTATTGAACAGAAAACTAAACAAAAAGATTAAAGTTCATTAAAGATTTTGAAAAGAACATAAAAAATAACTCAAAAGCAGTAAGGTAAAGAAGAAAGGCAGCAAAATTAGACTTAAACGTTGTAATTGAATCAACTAGACTGACACTTCCCTCTTGAAGCCATAAAACTTTTCTAATTAAATAAAAAAACTTTGAAGGAACTAGTAACATTGAAGAAAGAGCAAAAAATCTTGAAATAGTGAGATAAGATAGGTAAAACGCCATTAAGCTTAAGTACAGGTTTTTAGCTACTTATCTGCAGCTGTTTGATTTTTTTTCTTTCTCAGTTATTGATCTTACTAAAATATGAACAAACGAGAGTCCCATATAAACGAATTCCTTAAACAAACAAGAAGAAAAAATCTAGTCTTTAATAAGGTATTTTTCTTTTTAATTTTTTAATTCACGAACCAGAACGTTATCAATGTTTGCAGATTTTTAAAAACTTTCAAAAAATAATCGTTTTCGAAAATCAACCGATGCATCTATTTTCCGTCATCACTACGTGTTTCTGACTTAATCTCTAATACCGAGCAGAGTAATTCGATTTTATATGC